CGCAGTGGAAGCAAGAGCAAGTTTTGAAGAAATCCTTTGGTCAGAATGTCACTGGTCACTTCTTGAACCGCCTCTTGCAAAAATTGGCAACCGACAAAATCAATTCCCTTCTAATTAGGAGTCGTAGTACAATTTATGAGGGAATTGAGGGCAAAGTGTGGAGGGAAAAATCTCCCTCCAGTAAGGATCATCCAAGTCACTACAATAAAGAATTACTTTATTGTATCTTCTCTAGCCCAAAGAAGCTCAATCCTAATTAAGCCCAAGTGAAGGCACTGCCAGCCTAAGGATGCTAAGGTTGAACTCACAGCCCATTAAATAGCTTATCCGGCCAAGTTTGTATTTGACCCAAGTGCAATTCAGATTGATCAAGTCCTACTTATCAAATGATCCTTCATATAAGGAAGTTCTGAGATACTAGGTGTATGAATGTCTATGATATCGTGCTTTTGGATATTTCTAAAGAGAATGTAGTAGTAAAACTAAAAACTAAAAACTAGGAGAATTGTTTTAGAATCAAAAGATTGAGAATTGGTTGAATTAAAATCGAATCTATGGAGTGCAAAATCAAATGTTTAGTCAAAACAAACATTTTTTGTATAATTGATCCTAGATATCCAAAGAATTTAGTGCAATTAGTAGAATTAGAACGGTGGTACAAAATAGAAATAAACTAGTAGAATTTTATGTGATAAAAGGAATATCACATAGGTAAAAACAAAAATCCTATAAAATCGTTGCTAAATCAATTATGTTGTATGGAGCGAAGTGTCAGATAATAAAAAAGAAATAAGAACAAAGCTCTCATGTAATGAAATATTAAGTTGGATGGGTGAAGTGATTTTGGTTTAGGTATATCCATCGAAAACCCATTGAACGTGGATCACACAAAAAAGATCGATTAGTTGTACCTCATTCATAAAATAGAATAAACTATTATGGCTGCAGGCAACCCACGACTGTACAATCCTTGAAGATAATATATTGAAATATGTTGAACATGATCCAATCCCAGTCAGGATTTGTCTTCTCCATTAAAAATTAAAAATATAAAAATAAAGAACTCTGCATTGGAGTTGGACATTATATATATAGCAACTGTTTCCAAAATTTTCTAACGGAAAAGATGACAATTAATAGAAAATAAATTAAGCAGGCAGCAGATATATTGCAAAGCAGAAGATATATTGCTAGCTACTGGATGCTTTCAGTCCATCTTAAAGCAATATAATATATATTAAAAAAATGATATTAAAACCAATTTTTAAAACCATTTTGGATAATTGAAGGGCTATCCTTTTGTAATCCACAACTTTTATATTTGTTTATTTCACGACTCATGCTTGGGTAGCTATCCCTTTTGCTTGAGACATGAATATTGCGTCTGGTTTCCTCTTAATGTATTATATAAATATATATACTTTCTTGAATACCAATGGCCACATATAATAGATATATATATCTTGCTTATTATATTAAGTTATATTTAACAAATAGCAACATTCCAATTTAATTAATTTGAGTACAATACACGAGAATTTGAATATGAATTTTTGCAATTGAAACGCATATTGTCTGTGTACTACGTGCACAACAGACAAATTAGTTATAGAAGTTAAGTAGTGAGTTAAATCTTCATTAATTTTACGGCTGCTTTATTAAAATCTCATTAATTTCATTTGAGAATTTAAATTTAAACGTAGAATAACTTTTGGTGGCTTTTGTGTTGATAGTTGATAGTGTACGCCTGATTTGATGGGATTGATTATATGAATGGTCCTTCTCCAATGCATTCAATAATTTTTTATTAATTTTTTTTCTATTCACAAAAGTTACAAAACTCAATACTAATTATAAATTACAATTTTTTATTATTATTAAAAAATAATTACACTCACCTCCTTTAAAATTTTGTCAAACTTAGACTTTCTACTTGTTTGTCAAATTATAGATGTTGTTTAAAATTTTACCAAACTTAGACTCTCTACCTTTCTTTAAAGTTTCTGACATTCAAAAACCGTGTTCCCAGCCGATGCTATTTTACTATTATCGATGTTGTTCTTTAAGCAGATGCTTCCTTTATACCCCAAACATGCTTTTTATTCTGAAAAACATGAAACACGTTTTTATTGGGTTTGCAAATTATTTTTAAATACCTGAAGCTGTTTTTTTTTGGGTCTGCAACTTGGTGTTAAGATAGCTTTACTTTTCGAAAAAAACAAAAAAAAAAAAAAACTTGATGCGAGTGTTTCACTATTATATTAATAATGATAATTTGTTATCAAATTACTCTTTTACCCTAGAGCCCTAAATGATTTGATATGTCTCTACATAACCTGAGCCTAAATTTGCATAACAGAATCAAACTCAAAAATTATTAATGGAATGAGTTAAAAACTTTTTAGGTAAGGTAATACTAGTAATAATTTTTTATTTTTTTTTACTAGCCTAAAATTGCCTATAGTTGGGGGGGACTTGAGCCCACCAATCCTAACACCTAGATAGGCTCTTGAACAGAACTACCGTCTTCCCCGTCACCGGGAGAGAGCATAGCCCACCATCTTCACCACCACCGCCATAACACAATAACCATCTCTCCACTAGCACCGTCATGGCCATAGCCACCACAACTGGCGCCACAACTCAGCCCCTATCTTCACCACCACTGCCACAACTCAGCCCCCATCTTCACCACCGCCGCCACAACACATCCAGCATCTTCACCACCACTGCGACAGCCATAACCACCATCACCACCGCCATTTCCCACTCCACCACACCCACCACCATAGTTGAACCCATTAAAGTTTACCCAATTACACCATCACAACCACCACCACTCCCAACTCCACAATCACCACCATCCCCACCCTGAAACTACCACCGCCATCACCACCCCAACAATCAGCCGTGTAGTCCGGCGAGGTTAAACCACCAATTTGACCTTCAACCTCACAACCACCATGATTAACTCATTACTCACAATAACATCAATACAAAACCCTCGTTTATTCATCACTGCCCGTCGCACAAACCTCATCGGCGACTATGGAGGAACGAATTGCTGGCAATTTGTGGCGGCGAGGTCGAAGGATTAGGTTTGGTTCGGCAGATTGTCCTCATCGGCGAGCGGCAGATTGTCCTCATCGGCGAATCCTACTGCAGGTAGCGGCAACAATCTGCAACGGTGGCGAGCAAGTCAGAAGGGGGTGGACGTGATTGAGACTATATATATATATATATATATATATATATATTATACACAAACATTACTACTTCTTCACAATTTTATTTTTAGGATAAAGACAGTCTTTTTTTTGGACACAGACAAAGTTTAAAAATGGACAAAAAAAAAATCCTTTTATACGAGAAATTGATCAAATTACTCTTTTGACTGTTTATAAAACTTTTTTTAACTTTATAATTTAATAAATTTGACCAATCTAACCTCATGAATAATTTATGCATAAAAAAAAAAAAAAAAACTTTTTATTGTTCATTTTTTCTTTTATTTTTTTTTATTTACTTTATAAATGTCACAACTTCTTAAAAATGTAGACCTCTAAAATGATTTTTTGATCCAATACACATATTTCAAATAAAATATATTTTGTTATTATTTCTTTTCTTTTCTTTTTCTTTTTTATTCTTAAATTAAGATAATTAATTCTTTCATCTAAAAAAATTAAACTAATTTCTTTTCCATAAAAATAAAAAATATAACACCAGTATAACTTTATGCATCTTAAATTATATATCAAATATTATGTATTTCCCAACATAAAAAAAAAAAAAAAAAAAAAAAAACAAAGGCATGTATAAAGTTATACTGGTACCTATTTTCTTTTATGTTGGCAAATGCATAATATTTGATATATAATTTAAGATATATAAAATTATACTGGTATCATATTTTTTATTTTCAAGGAAAAGAGATTGATTTAATTTTTTTAGATGAAAGAATTAAGCATCTTAATTTAAAAATAAAAAAGAAAAAGAAAAGAAGTAATAACAAAATATAATTTATTTGAAATATGTATTGAATCAAAAAATCTTTTTAGACGTTTACATTTTTAAGAAGTTGGGACATTTATAAAATAAATAAAAAAAAAAAAAGTGAATAATATAAAGTTTTTTTTTTTTTACTTTTTTTTTATGCATAAATTATTCATGAGGGTAGATTGGTCCAATTTATTAAATTTTAAAGTTAAAAAGTCTTCTAAATGGTAAAAGGGTAATTTGGTCAATTTTTCATATAAAGGGGTGTCTTTATCCTTTTTTGAACCTTCAGGGAGTGTCTTTGTCCAAAAAATAGATAAGTTTTCTCTGAATATCCTTTTGTCGAATCTCGAAAGTGTAGTTGTACTTTACCCTTATTTTTATTTAATATAAAAAATGTGTAAAAAAAAAATGTTAATATTAGCGAAAAAAGGCGTTAACCGGCGTTGGCTTTTAACGAAAGGAACAAAGTTATGAGAGAGTTAACTTTGAGGAAAGTTGGTGTAATATTTAAAATTATAAAGGTACTGCTTGTAATTATCCCTACCTATATGATTATATGATAATCCTATGTGAGTTATTCTATCACAAATAAACAAAATGCACAATTATATGAAGCCTAGTATGGATTTTTATCTATATATGTTACTGAATTTCAATCTGTTCTTATGAGATTGATTCGGTAACACCTATGAGCCCAAAAGGGACGATTACACTTAATCTTTACCGTCTTGGTACAGAGTTGCGTCCACATACATTTCTATCTTCCTCGTCACCTTGTCGGCGTCTACATTCAACGTGATTCAACTCAAAACGGTTTCGAAAATTTTAGTACTAATCTACCCTTAATTTCCAAAACCCAAATAGTCATATCTCACCACCTACCATGACATTTTGGTAATTGCACGCCATAAAAAACAAAACGGACCTGTCACAAACTCATTAAGCAGCCCATGTTTAACCATATATACATTATATGTATCGAACCTACTATAGTTATGAAGAAGAAGACAACATAAATTTTAACAAAGAATTAAGCAGAGACGTTTCCGATTCTCCAGGATGAAGTCAACCACGAAAGACGCCGGAGCACAAGCTCCTCTCCTCCCGGAGGTAGAGAATCCGCCGGAAAAGTGTGCGTCAGTTTCCGGCGCGGTGTTCAATGTGTCCACCAGTATAATTGGGGCCGGAATCATGTCGATTCCGGCGACTCTGAAGGTGTTGGGTGTAATTCCGGCTTTGGTGTTGATTATAGTGGTTGGCGTGTTGGTGGATGTATCGGTGGAGTTCATGTTGAGGTTCACGAGTTCCGGCGAGTCCACGACGTACGCCGGCTTGATGAGGGAGTCATTTGGACGGTTCGGATCGATTGCTGTGCAGATCTGTGTCATGATCACCAACCTTGGTTGTCTCATCGTTTATCTCATTATCATTGGTAAGCATATAGTATTAGTTTAGTTGTTTTTCTTAGATTTTTTGAAAACTGAAAATTAAAAAAAATTGTAAAAAAATCAGAGTGGTTGACCATTTTTAAAACTATTTTACAAAAAATCAGTTTTAAAAAAAATATATATATATGTGTGTGTGTGTGTGTGTGTGTGTGTGTGTTTCAGAGTCATTTATAGTTCTCTGCTATTTTTTGAGATTTTGAGCCACTCATTTAAGTTTTTAGAATCAAGAAATGGAAATTTATGCTGTGTGTCTTGAAATTGAAATTCCAAAAAAAAAAAAAATTGAACAAAATTTTTTTCAGTTTCAGTTTAAATTATTTGGCACGTAGTTCATATAATGGAACATATTATTTATGATATATTAGGTTGTATAAAATTCGTGTCTTTGAAATTGAAATTAAAGTTCAAGGCACGAATTCCGTGCAATCGAACATGTTACTGAAGGAGTCTGGATTGGTTAATCTAAAGACTCTAATTTAAAGTTTTGATCATAACCATAAGTGTCCAGCTTAAAGACAAACACAAGTAGCTACTTGATAAACCAAGTCAAATGTAGAACAACTTGTTGCAGTTCATATACAAACCGTTTGGACTGTCAAAAACCATATGGAAGGTTGAAGCAGCCCATTTTGACCCGCGTTGACCTATTCTTGATCAACACTAACCAGCTATCTTATTGAAGATGCAAGAAACTCCTTCTATTCTTTCTCTCTCTAGAATTCTTACACCTCAACCCCAATCAAGATCCCCCTCCTCTTCATTCCAACTCCTATTTATAGATACTTACCAGATATTTACAAGATATTTACAAGATATTTACTAATTGCTGGACCTGGGCCTATTCCTCAGTAAGCCCTGGTCACTCTTGATGGGCTTACTCCCGCTCGGCCCATATGGCAGTGTCTTTCTATGGGCTGACCCAGCTGTTCGGACTGAAGGTTGTGTTTTGCGAGTCGGGCCTGGCCCATGTCATCCAGGGCCTCCTCAACTGCCCCCATAATTGCCCCTTATTTAATAAGGGGTAATTATTGATGGCGTCTCATCATGACACTGACGGCTCGAGATAACCACGTGGGGGAGCGAACGGTCAGATCCAGAATCAATGTTCCGGGGTTCGAGGGATTTCTTGCCTTCCCGATGCTTCGGCCCTCGGGCCCCCTTGCCTATATAATGCTCTAGAATTCCACTTCACTTCCCTTTACCGTCTCCATCATCAGCCAAATCTCCCTCTTTCTAGAACTGTGCTAAGCCTTTTCCGGTGAAATCCTTCGAGAGTCATTCTCCCAGCGATCTTGCAGTCCTCCGAGGTTAGTTTCGTTCTTTTTACTTTCGGCAGGCTTCCATTTTCCCTCTTTTAGATTCTTCTTGCACTTCCACCATGGTTGTAGATCTGGGTGTTCTTCGTATGAGACTTAGACTTCCTGACAACATCGTAGTTAGGGTTTGCCCCCAAGACGTTAATATTACGACCGGCGCCGGCCTCCTGCCCGGCGAAGTCTTATTCACAAACCTTCAACTGAATGTTGTTAGGTTCCCTCTGCACCCTTTCTTTAGTTACGTCTTCAACAGATTGGGGATATCCCCTCTGCAGGTCAACCCCAACTTCTTTAGGATCATATCTGTTATGCTCTTATTGATGCGTGACAGAAATCTGGACCTTGACCTCATAGACCTCCTTCTGTGCTATAAGGTCAGTAAGATCCGTACTAACGAGCCCTTCTACCACCTCTACCCGTTCGAGAAGATGTCCATATGCACTGACACAATAAAATCTGAAAAGGGTTGGAGGGATAGCATAGTGGGTATTAGTGGGGCTTGGTCTTCGCCGGCTGCAGAGGATTACCCAATCCCGAGCGCCTTTGGTGTCTGCTCTGTCTCCTCCTATAAAAAATTCAAATCCCATAAACACGACTGCCCCTGTGAAACATGCGTTCCTCGTTTTTGCACTTATTTATGCCGCTCCTTGGGAATACCTTGTGATGACTTGAGATACAGTGTTTGCAGGGATAGGATTAACTACTTGAAGAGATACGTTCTGAACGATATTCCTTCCTGCTCAGATCTCCTCACTTCAGACAACCTCTTTGCGCTCTCATCACTCGGCTACAATATGAGCAGACTGCAGATTCCCTCTTTTGGCAGGAGGAAAAATACTCCCCCAGTCATTCCTGCTGCTGGGGCGACCTCCTCTCCAGCGTCGGCTTCTTCTTCAGCCACCATATCTGACACTGTCCCGAGCGCAGTGGCTACTAACCCTGCTGCCAGCGCCCCTGCGGCCAACCAGAACGCGCCCTCCCCAGCTACCATAGCTCCTGCTGCTGCGGGGGGCGGTCGGGACAAAGAGCGAGGCAAAAGGCCTCATCCTGACAGTGAAATCGACCCTGAGGAGGAGCCTCTTATTAGAAGGACCCGAGTCTCTGGGCCGGGTACTCTCTTGCACCGAGCGATCAGAGCTCCTTCTCACTCTGGGCCTCCTGCAGCTGGTGGCTCTGCTTCTGCTTCAGGCCCCCATTCTATCCCCAGCTTGCCGCCATGGGCCCCTCGGTACACTCGAACGGATGGGACGTTCATGAAACCGAACGAGACCATGCTGAAGGATGGCCAGACCGCTATGGCCTACTACAGGAGCATGTGGACTCCGAAGGACATTGAGGCGGCAAAGGGCCTTTCCCAGAAGGACGTGTTCAGTCGCTTTCCCCAATCTGCTATGGAGGTGACTTTTATTTTCTAACTCATGAATTCTCTTATATTACTTGGTCTTGCCTTCGCCCGTTCTGACTATTGGTTTAACCGTTCTTATTGTGCACCTATGCAGACATTGTTCGGGATGATGGCCATGCAGAAGCAGGTGGAAATGGGGAACGCCAGGGCCCGAAAGTATTCTGACAGCCTGGAGGTGGCTAATAAAGAGAACGACCTCCTTGCCATGAAGAATACCGAGGTGCTGGTTCGGCTTGACAAAGCCGAGCAAGAGAGAGATGTCCTGAAAAAGGAGAATGATTCCCTTCAGGATGAGAAGGACGCCCTCCAGCTCGAGAAGAGCGTCTGGCAGACTGAGCAGGAATCACTCAGAGAAGAGAAGGCAGAACTCCAACGTCTTCTAGCTGATGAACAGTCTGCTCGGATGGCTTTTGAAAAAAGAGCTCTGGACGAGCGTACCGCTCTGATCGACGCTATCAGCAGAGTGGGTGGTGGGATGCTGGCCCTTCATGCCGGTTCTCCAGGGTCGGTGCTCTTCGGTATGCTCAAGGATTCCGGGAAGGTTTCGCCGACCGGGTTCCGGATGAGGGACAGACCAGCTCCACTCCGGATGAGGTAGACAAGGATCTGGGGATCGAGCCTCTGGGGGTCTATGTCGACCCAGAACCCACCGAAGCGGAGCGTATATTTGATGAGTGCCAGGACATCGCATCCTCAAGGATCATCACAGCTCCTCCTACCGCTCTGCCACTGACCGCTCCCCAATCGTCAACCGTGGCTCCCTCTGTAGCCACTGCTGACGCTGAACCCCAGCCGAACGACTCAGTTATTCACCTGGATTCCCCACCTCATGAAGGTGAGGCGGCTGATGGGGCCGAGGAGGCGAGTCGGCAGGACCAGGATGCTGTTGGTACTGAGGCGTCTAGCTAGGGCTCCTTCGAATTCTTCCAGTTCATATCTTCTTGTAATGATGGACACCTCTCTTTTGTAAACTAAATGTTCAATATTAATGAAATGGCCGAACTCTTTTTCTCTATGTGTTGTGCTCTGTTCAACTTATCTTCAGTACATATATATCTTTTCTCTCTTTTTCTTTTTATATTAGCTTTGCTGTGTGTTTGTACGGCAAGTGCCTGGCGCTCGGCTAGAATGCCACTTGCCACTTGGCTTTAAATTTTTAGCAAGTGTCTGGCGTTCGGCTTATAGTGCCAGCTGCCACTTATCTTGCTTAAGTGCCTGGCGCTCGGCTAGAATGCCACTTGCCACTTGGCTTTAAATTTTTAGCAAGTGTCTGGCGTTCGGCTTATAGTGCCAGCTGCCACTTATCTTGCTTAAGTGCCTGGCGCTCGGCTAGAATGCCACTTGCCACTTGGCTTTAAATTTTTAGCAAGTGTCTGGCGTTCGGCTTATAGTGCCAGCTGCCACTTATCTTGCTTAAGTGCCTGGCGCTCGGCTAGAATGCCACTTGCCACTTGGCTTTAAATTTTTAGCAAGTGTCTGGCGTTCGGCTTATAGTGCCAGCTGCCACTTATCTTGCTTAAGTGCCTGGCGCTCGGCTAGAATGCCACTTGCCACTTGGCTTTAAATTTTTAGCAAGTGTCTGGCGTTCGGCTTATAGTGCCAGCTGCCACTTATCTTGCTTAAGTGCCTGGCGCTCGGCTAGAATGCCACTTGCCACTTGGCTTTAAATTTTTAGCAAGTGTCTGGCGTTCGGCTTATAGTGCCAGCTGCCACTTATCTTGCTTAAGTGCCTGGCGCTCGGCTAGAATGCCACTTGCCACTTGGCTTTAAATTTTTAGCAAGTGTCTGGCGTTCGGCTTATAGTGCCAGCTGCCACTTATCTTGCTTAAGTGCCTGGCGCTCGGCTAGAATGCCACTTGCCACTTGGCTTTAAATTTTTAGCAAGTGTCTGGCGTTCGGCTTATAGTGCCAGCTGCCACTTATCTTGCTTAAGTGCCTGGCGCTCGGCTAGAATGCCACTTGCCACTTGGCTTTAAATTTTTAGCAAGTGTCTGGCGTTCGGCTTATAGTGCCAGCTGCCACTTATCTTGCTTAAGTGCCTGGCGCTCGGCTAGAATGCCACTTGCCACTTGGCTTTAAATTTTTATAGTAGACCATTGGAAAAGAAAATTCTTCTCTTCTTTTTTTGTAAATTCCGGTAACTTGCTCATTCATATGTATTTGATTGACAACAAATAACATCCAATTAAAACCAGAACTTAGCTTCTATTGATAGTACCTCTTCAGAGACGTGGCGTTCCAGGGCTTGCTGACCAACTTTCCC